CCCGCCCGCCTCTGACACGCCCAATCATCGGCAGCGAGCGAGACTCCATATACCTGCGTAGAAGACATTGAGTTCACACAGCACTAGTTTCCAGTGGAAACAAAGAAAACAAGCGACTGCATTGAGCTGAGGTTTTTGCTTTAGATTGGCAAGGCATTCGCAATAAGTTCGATTGCCCAAAAGCTTGCCGGATTTGCTCAGACCGCAGTTCTTCAGAACATATACATTGCTACTCTGAACTGGTACCAGGTGATTGTTTTTCTTTATTATGTTAATGATTTTTCGAAAATTTGTATAACGACAGTATCTCTTGAAGACGCGCTAGCCGAACTCTGTTCCTCCAATGCAGTAGTAACCTTGGGAGCAAGCTTGTGATTCGTGCGATGGGCCATGTGATTGGTGGATCACAGCTACCACCAATCGCAGACGTCCATACGCGGCGCGCGGCCTCGACGTTAAGCTGTACTTATAGTGCACGTAGTAAATTACTGTATTGAAGTGCAAGGTGTACGTGCACACAAATTTCACCTACTTATTTTCCGGTGTTTTTTACAACCCGTGGAATTTGGTTTCTGTTTAGGGCTTTGTCTGGCTAGTCATGGGTGCAATATGTGTGTTTGCATGCGGGATCTACGGTTTCGTTCACGTCGTTGCCAAGCGTGAAAAGATAGGATCGTAGTTATTCGGATATTTTGAAACATATTTCGCATTCTTTGTAATGCATGTATATTATTTCAATGAAGATTTCAAATTGAAATGGTCTCTTTGTTCTCCATGTAATTCGAAATACTTGCTTAGAATCGGAAAAGGCATGACCGATAATGTGAACAATATTGCTCGAGTACTATTCCTTCTCTTATTGCTAGTACCACACACTCGTTTCCTACCTCTTTTTTTCAATTTGGACCGCATTTGTCCCCTTCATTTGGGCCCGGACCGTCAGCTCATCCACACTCAAACCTCTTGCTTTTAGTAATTCGACCGAGGCTCGGAACGGCCGAGGCCCAAATGAAGAAGATGTGAGAAGGACCATGCTCTCGGTTGGGGGAACTCTCTATAAGACCAATGCTCCAAAGCGGGAGGCTATAAATTTGAAGGCAAAGCCAGGTCCTCAGCTTGGCCGTTTGATCTCAACTTGAAGGAGCTACGGCTCGTAAGACTACTGGATGTAGACGTCGTTCCTGCTGCCGAACTCTGTGCAGGTGCGCGATCTAGGACAAATCATCGGTCAGCGAGGTAATTCGTCTGATTGGTCTGTTTTCAACATGACGTTTCCACACCCACCCTGCGAAAAAGGCCGTGCTGAATATCTAGCAATAGAGCTGGATGGCTCTCCTTTTGCACACATATAGCCCTATTTCCTTGACGCTGCTTTCAACTATT